ATTGGCTCATGCCAAAGTTATTTATATTAAAATTAGCTGAAATGATATACATACTTATGACATATAATTCTGGCCGTTATAAAAATTAAAATATAACAAATTTTGTAATAAAGCTATGTTTATTCAATAATACACACATGTGTACATATGTATATTAAAAGAGCTATGTACAAAATATTTTCGAAAATGTCACCTTTTGCTTTCATACCAGCACTCAAACGATTCGGCCCCAGTTTATATTGCTATTGACCACACTGCTTGAACAAACAATTTTTTCAGACTCTCCAAATTTCCTTGGGTATTTAACAGGCCATGTTCTCCAACTCTAAGCACAAACCGCAGTTCAACGGATTAAAATTTAACTTTCAGACGGTCAACACTCCGCAGTTATGAAACGAGGAATATGCATTTAAAAATAACATACTACAATTTTAAATCAATATTTAAAATAGTTTTGAGTTACTGCTCGATCAGATCCATAAGTTTAACTTTAAACGCGTTTTTCGCAAAACTACATTTTTCAAATTGTAGAGAAATGATTCGTCCCCTATAAATTTTTTTGGCATTTTCAATTAAATTTTTTTAAAAACGCCACCATTTTGTCAATTTCTGATGTTTTTTGCGACCATGGGTCATTTTACGGACAATATCTTCGGGTTGAGACGCTTATGCCATATATAATACATACATAGTTCGGTCAATCTTGCTCGGCATAAAGGCAGCTCCCTAACAAAAGTAACTTTAAAATCTACCAGGAGGTGGTGTACGTCTATCGTTTTTTTACGAGTATTTTCCCAGATTCGGCATATGGTGGATATCTGGTCAGTTGTTGATAGTTGTTCAGCCCTGACACCACACTGATAAGGTCCTATCCGTTTCATCTATTTGGGAGACTTATCCCAAGGTAGTAGGCGTAGATTGTGAGATTTCCCTTTTTGTGGAAAGGGCAAAGAATACTTAAATTCCAATCGATGGGCATATTCTACAAAGAAGTTGATGCACTGGTAATTGTTATTCGAACTTCTTCATGGTAGGATTATGCAACGTCTGCTCCATTGGCAACGATTGAGGAATCGGGTTCACCATAGCCTGGTGTTATGCTTTCAGCAGGCTGCACAAATATTCCTCAATAATTTCAGTATGCTCTGGGCATCAGTTACTAAATCACCTCTGGGTCTACAAGAGTACGCCCCGGTATTGAAACCATCTGTTAGTCGTCCTATCTTTTCGTAGAATTTTCGAGTATTATCCCTTTCAGGCAGTTGTTAAGCTCTTCGCACTCACGCATTCGGCCTCTCTATTCCTTTGTCTCCAAATGCGTCTCACTCCCCTCTTCGGTCTTTGCTGCACAGAAGCGGGTGCGTATCTTCACTGTAACAAAATAGTGGTCCGAGTCAATGTTAGGACCTCGGAACGTACGTATCACAGAGCTGCAACGAGTATGATAAAATCAGAACAAACAGTCATACCAAAAAACACAATCAAATCAATTCAGTTCAGCATAGACAACATTGTTAATCAATTCGAGTAGCTGCCAGTGTCAACTGATCTGATGCAACACGAACAATCTGATCTTCGGCAATCACGATCGTGTAAACGGTATGGCTGGCTTCGGTTCCAATCGTATCATAACAGTTCATAGCGTTGCGAGGATTGTCTGAATTGAAGTGAATCTTTGGGTAAACAACTATAAGCAAATATACGAGTAAATCTATGGGTAAATCTATGAGTGCAGCAAACAACAACAATTTTCTGCTGGACTGATTTGAATCATGTGTGGCAATAAATGTATCAGCTTTGAAAATGTGCGCATCTTACAAATTTTCGAAGCGTAAACAATGGAAATTCATACATATATACATACATATGTTGTATATACTTGATGGAATTTGGATTATATATATAACATATGTATATACATACATACATGTATATACAAACATATGTATTTGAAATAGAATAGGGTTAATCAGTGTTTAGGGGATGATATACAAATCGAACGCAGTCGATCGTTTCAATCATTAAAGCATGAGTTTGCATCGCTGATGCGAACGTTCATAAACAAATCAGGTATAAGCTGATCGCTAGTGATTCAAATTCGTTCTTTATCGTTGATTTGAAGACAAACGGTGCGCTTCGTGTACATGAACCGAACTGACAGAATCAGACAGAGTAACGGATCAGTACTTAAGTATAAACAAGACCGAAAGTCGTGAGCTGCTAGAGCTATAGTAAAACTAAATTCATTATTTTTTATTTTATAATTGTGCTTGGGTAACTCTAAATAATGCCTTAGAATTTACAGAAAATTCTTCACAGACAGTTTGGTGGTTGCTTGACTCAGTGCTGTTGAAGTCAAAAATGAACACCAGATTTCGGTCGATTTCGATTCGATTGGATACAAAAAAAAACTAACACAAAAGTCATGAAGAGAATTTTGACCTGCGAATCGAAACAGAATTTGTTTTTTCTGAAGTGCTTACTTACTAGTGATGAAAAATTGGTCATTCTAATTCGGTCGATTTCTTTTTGTTGGGATTTTCTTCACGTGGTCATAAGTTGGTCTCTCTTACAACTTTCTTGATTGTTCTATTCAGAGCTTGTCGACAAACTTCTGTAACATCTTTTCGCAGTATCTAGCCTATCTATCTCAATTTTCGCAATTTGATATAGTTAACCATTGATTCCAAATTGCATTTTTTATATACATTTGTAGATCGTCAACAAAATTCTGAGACAACGTTGGATTTAAATAATATAATTTTTGTTACAAAGGATATTTTCGGCTAGTTTCATTTTTTTCATAGCTATGCGTTTGCAATTAGTGCATTTATTTTTTCTGGTCAAAATAGCCATGTAGTATAAAATAGTTGTGGCTTTTAGTGTTCATTTTTTCAAGCTAAACTGTCGTTATATACGTATTTTTTACGTCCTACTCTTTAATATAGTTACATGACTGAATTGTAGCAATTCGAAGTTCAGGTGTTATTGTTTGGTCTCTAACTCGTTTTGTCTCTCTTAGGATTACGTCCCAAATTTATCCGCTCATCCAAACTTTCACCGATCGATATAAACCTCCCCGATTCATAATGGGTTACATTTTCGAAAGGCAGCCCTTGGCCGGATAAAATACGGGTCAATTCCGGTAATGAAGAATTCGTGGAAATTGCTTTGAATCCAGCGATCCGAGTTCTAATCTCGGTAGAACCCCATCTAATCTTTCATTTTGGTTGGTCACCCAGTATGCTTTTGCTCTAAAACCGAGTTCAGCATCGGATCGGTAAATTTCTTAAAGGACTAACACATTTTTTCGCTGCTTTAGTGGTGGTAATAAATGATTTTAAAAGAACAGCTGTGTACATAACAAGTATGTTAGAAAATATGGTATTAATTCGTAATTATTCCGTTGTTTATGTTATTATTTATTCAATTCCATACCGAAATGATACTCTAAAGAAGAAGAGTTTGTAACTCCTTTTGAACTTTTATTATTAGGCAAAATATTGCAAACTAAAATTAAAATGAAAGAATTAAGTAAAAATAATATTTATATGGTTGTATGGCGGGTACTGTGTCGAATACTTTCAGAGCTGGAGGGTTTTCGTCCATTCGGACAACATGACCTAGCCAGCATAGCCGTTGTCTTTTAATTCACTATGTCAATGTCGTCATATATCTCATACAGCTCGTCGTTTCATCGAATGCATTATTCGCCGTGGCCAATGCGCTAAGGACCATAATCTTTCGCTGAACTATGTCAATTTCGTTGTATATCTCATGCAGCTCCTCGTTTCCCACCTCAAGTATTCAATGCAGTACAAGCCGGGGGAAGAAGAGGTGTAGAAGGACCTGGTTACTCTTGGAATCTAAAGTTTATAGATACTGGAGTCCAAATTTCCTGTATTTGGGGCTTAAACAGTTTTGGTTTAGGTGTGGTTGTGTCCGCTCATTTTCGCTCTGTGACATAAAAATGTCAGAAGAATCTCACGCACCAAATTTGATCGAAGTCGGTCGGGCGAGTCTCGAAATATGTGTTTCTATCTGAAAGTGGACGGTGCCAAGCCCATCGTCCAATTTTGACACCAGCTCCATTAAAGGCCTATTATACATACATGCAGAGCCACGCCCACTTTTTTAAAACTTGTTTTCCAAAAGTGTCTCTTGTTACTGGAATCCCATCTAATCTTACGCCCATCTAAGAACTTCGCATTACACTTTTGCCACTGAAAATGTGTACTAAGTTTCATCAAGATATCGAAATTTTTTCTCAAGTTACAGCTTGCACTGACGGACAGACTGACAGTTACAACCATACATTCATACCCTGTAGCAACATTTTGCAAGAGCATATAAATTGCATATATAAACTAAAATTAAATTTACTTGTACCGTTTATTACTTTTAATCTATTTTAGTGCTTTTAATTTCGCATTCTGCAAAATATCATTCATACTGAACATGAATTGTTGCCCCACCAATAATAACGGGACTTTTGCAAGGCCTTACAGAAACTAAATTTCCAAATACTTCCGTGATATTGGTCTAGTCAAGTATATACTTAAAGTAGTTCAAATAAATATTTTTGTTCAAAATAAATCCAGTTTTTTTATATTAAGCCAGAGTTAATAAAGTTTCCAAAATAAATTTCTGCAAACCAAAATGTTTTAATAAAAAATTTAATTTGTAATTCACTATGTATGGTATATGCTTTTCATGTAATTCATTTTATGAACATATTTAATAATTTAAACAACAAAGCAAATATCTAAACAACGCAATTGCGTTTGATTTCAACTTCAACTGTCAAAATTTTACTCTCCATTGGGCGCAGCAAAAATAAATTTTTTTCAAATCAACTCAACACAGGGACCAATGTTTTCTTTTAGCACACAACCTAATAATAAAATGAAGTTTAACAAATACATCTGCTAATTGGCAACGCCAATTCCTTACTTCTGTCAGCTGACATTCAATGAATTGTTTTGGTTTATTGTGTCATATCAAAGTTTTGTTCAGTAGAATTTCATTGTATATTGAATGTAACATCAATTAATAAAATCAAAGCTTTAAAGTTTCTAATATGAATTCGCGTAATCCACAAACTCTTATGGCACTGCCAAATGAGGAAAATTTTGATTTTCTTTTTAAAGTGGTATTGATTGGAGACTGTGGAACTGGGAAAACTTGTATTGTAGAGCGTTTTAAAACTGGAAATTTCATTGAAAGACATGGGAATACTATAGGCGTCGACTTTTCTATGAAAACAGTTAATATCGAAGGGAAGCAAGTAAAAGTAAGTATCGCCTTGATCAATTATGTGATGAAATAAATTATATTCGTTTCCAGCTTCAAATATGGGATACAGCTGGACAAGAACGGTTTCGTACAATCACGCAAAGTTACTATCGTTCTGCAAATGGTGTTATAATTGGTATGTATTGTTGCAACCGAAAATTGTATACCTAATATGGGAGTATTTTAGAATAGTATTCCCGTTATCGGGGTTAAAATGAGAATGTACGGTTGGAGGATATTCTCCAGTTTAAGAAATTATATATAATTGCCGTTGACTTTATGGGTTTTGAGATCTTATAGTAAATAGTGCAAAGATAATTTTATTTCAATATTTAACTTTTCTTCAATTCTTTTTGTTCACACAACATATGGTTTGCATTCTAACATATAATTAGTGTTCCCTTATCAACATATTTTTCAAGAGAAAGGAAATTCAGAAAGATTTTGCATTAATGAATTTGTTAGCCTTCTTTTTTTTATTTATTTTGCATTCGTTTACAAAATATATTAACTCTTATTTTTTCATTCTTGATATGTCATGTAACCTGATGTTGTGCGAGTTTATTTTTCCATGATCTAACACTAGTTACTTCTTTTAATATATATATCTTATATACATCAACTTCTGGTAAATATATAATATTGGCTTTTAAATATACTTATAGCTATAATTTCTGAAGAGATCTTATTTTTGAAAAATGTTATTTTGTTGCAAAGTTGTAAATATTTTTAATTAAATTATTGAATCTTTTTAGTTTATGACATAACAAAGAGGTCTTCTTTTTCAAATCTTCAAAAGTGGATTGAAGAAGTTCGGCGTTACACAGCGTCCAACGTGCTACTTATTTTAATTGGAAACAAGTGTGATCTAGACGAAGAGCGGGAAGTGGATTTTGAAGAAGCAAAGCAAATGTGCCAATATATACCCGAAATCCTTTTTGTAATGGAAACATCGGCGAAACAAAATACAAATGTTGAAGACGCATTTGTTTGTTTAGCAACGGAATTAAAGGTATATCGCAAGCTAATTGAAATATAAACGCTATCATATATGGTAAATAATTTCAAAATTTTATCTAATCGATCTATTGAAGAAGAGCGAAAATTCGCAAGACATGGGCGATTAAAATTTTGTACTTAGCAAACACACAGCTATAGTGAAATGAAAATTACTATCAAGGAACCTACAATGCCACCCAATATGCTCTGGAACTTTAACGAGTTCAATTTGTGGTTAAAATAATTATACAGCACCAATATGGTCGCCTGGATGCAGTGGTACGCAGATGAGGAAGCTCCAAACCTGACAGAACACAGCACTCCGGACCACGACGGGATGCCTCTTGATGTCTCCCATCGAACACCTACATAGTGTGACGCTTATGCTGCCAGTTGAGGAGCATAATGAACTCCTCTCCAAGCGGTGCTGCTAGGATGTTTTCGTAGAAACCACTAGAAAGCCATCTGCTTGGAGCGGAACTGCCGCCTAGCAGCATCAAGAGGTCATTCCTCGACCACGTCGACGATGTCGTACAGTACGCCGACCGGACCTCGGACGCAACAGACTTTCGACAGGCAACGACCGCTATTCACAGTTCACCCATCAATACCTTCACCGACTCCCTTCCCATGAATGGCTTTCTTGTAATCAAACCACCATCTATTGCAGATGAAGGCCTCAAGTTGCCGCGAGAAACGCGAGTGACCTTAGCGCAACTTCGTTCTGGATATCGTAGCAGGTTAAACTCCTACTTATCCAGAATAGACCCTGACATGTCCTGCATGCAACGAGTCTCCGCATGACACTGACCACCTCTTTGCATGCCCTACCAACCCCACCCATCTAACACCCTTTTCCCTGGGCCACCGTTAGATGACGCCGACGGATGGATAACCCTTACCATCCTAACGGGGATTCATAACCGTTAGAACAACAACAACACAAAGGGAATGGACTCCGTTCACACGACAGTCGGGTCTACGAAAACCGGAACGGACCCGGATTTTTATCCGGCCAAGGACTGTCAACTCGGCAGAATTCTGCCGTTACAACAACAACAACAAATGGAATGGACTACATGTTATGAGCCACCGCACAACTGCGGCTGCAATTGTGAACTGTCCCGTCTAGTGGCCAACAACGCGCTTGTGCGGTCGAGCTCAACTAGGCTGCATGACTCCTAGTCTGATTAACCCGTTAAGATTGCGAGAGTATAAAATGTTCTGTTATACCCGAACTTGGCCTTTTCTTCCTTTGATAGTAAATCTACATATCAATAGATAATATAAAGAATTTTGATTATATGAGACAAATTAGTTTAGTATTTATATTTCGTAATTACTAAATAACTTCATTTTTTTTAATTATTTAGCGGCGTCATGACATCAACACTGTAGAAGAAGACAAAGAAGATGCCATACGACTGGGGCAAAGCAAACCGCTTAATAACTGCAGTAGTTCTTGCAATTTATCATAAGGATCTCGAAACGTAATCTTAATTTTGGAGTTTTTTTTTTATTTAAGTTTATTAATATAATTCATTTAAATTTAACTTAGTTAATTAAACGCTCGATAATAGTATAAGTATATAAATAGATATATATACATATATATATATATATATGAAATATGCAAATATTTCAACAATAAAGCTCTGAAGCTTTCAAATGATCTAAAATCAAGTACAAAATTGATATCAAAATATAAAAGATCTGACGAACATTATCTGTGTATAAGCAGTAATTTGACACATTCATTATTCCATTATAAACCAAATTTGTTTTTTCTTATGAAGTGGATTGAAGGCTTTTTCCTCCCATTGACAAAAAACAAAATAAAATGCAATCCGTAAACAACCGGTTCTCTGTTGTTTCTCTGTTTGGATCGTTAAATTTGGCATTAAGTTTGTCATCATTGGAGCATCCGCATCCTCCGGAATGCTAGCATTGATTTCAACCCGGGCCCGGATTTCTACAAGCTACAAGAAAATTGACTCTGAACTTTAATATAAAAATTTGGCATTTTTCCGAGTTGTCGCAAGAATCTAAAGGGAACCCTGCGCAGATTCGTTCTGGATACAACTAAAAGTTGACCAAGTAAACCTGCATCACGCGACGGCAGACTCGGCCATCATGCGAGGAGGTTCATCTCGGATAACCTAGGCATCCTTTTAATCCAGGAACCATGCTTGTACAGAGGAGAGGTCAGAGGCCTCAATTCGAAAAACAATAAGGTAGTATTCTGTTCTGTATTTCAGAGTTTCTAACGCATAATTAGGTGGCAGTGCAGGTAAAGGACAGGGAATGGTCAGACTTCGTTCTTGCGGCTGTCTACTTTCCACGGGAGACGGCCACAGCAAACCCCCGCCACCGATTCTCAACTAGAGGGGTGAGTCTCTTCTTGAATTCATAATATAGGCATCGAGAATGTGGACTGGTAGGCTGACTGCTATAAACCAGTCTATGGTGTACGCCTATCATTGTGCTTGTCCACTAAGGGTGGCCACCAGGAAACAAACATGTCTCTGGTGGTCTAACAAACTCTCGGTACTTAGGCAATCTGTGAGCAGGCTGTTCAATAAAGCCAAGCGCACGGGGAACTAGGAGGTACATATATATTTAACACGTAACAACCTAAAAGAAGGAGATTAGGTTCGCGAAGTCAAATAGCTTTAGGAAATTCTGTGAAAGCGTCTCCTCGACCCCAGAGACAGCTAGACTTCACAGGGTTTTGTCAAGAGGCAAGACGGACACGATATTATCCATCAAAAGGCAGGACGGGACCTATACGACTGGTGCGGAGGATAGGGCAAAAACTCTCCTAGCGCACTTTCCGGAGACGGTTTAGGCTGACCAAACTTCACCACCTCGCAAGCAGACCAGATCGCCTGGACTGGCTAACTGCAAGGAATGTGTTTACTGCAGACTCAGTCAGATGGGCACTGGCCTCCTTCTCGAACTATAAGTCACCAGGAGCGGATGGCATATTTCCAGCTCTTTTGCATCAAGATATGCGAGTTCACTTGCCACACCTGTTGAAGCTGATGAGAGATAGCCTGGCGATGTCGTTTATCCCAGAGCCATGGAGAATCGCGAAAGTAATCTTCATCCCCAAGGTAGGTAGGAGAGAATACTCGTTGGCCAAATCATTCCGGCCTATTAGTCTTACATCCCTCAAGCTAAAAGGGATGGAAAAAGTAGTAGATAACCACATAAGATCGGAAGCGCTGAAAATCGCACCTCTACAAGCTAGACAGCATGCAGCAAAAACTACCGTAATCCCTTTTACTAAGCGAAGATCTCTTCCGGACTTCAGAACCCTAACAATTGGAGGCAGGGAAGTGGAGATGGTGAAAGACTCATCCTTACGGCGGTGTAGGCATTTGGACTTAACGCTCTCCAAAGCCACCAAGGCGCTCATGATATGCATCGCAGTGGGGTCCCACACTCTTAAGGAGCTGCTCCGCACAGAGGAGAGAGCGGGAAGAAATCAGCACTGGCAGCAGGCAGCAGGAATGCGCCATGCCAAGCTGCTTCTAGAAGGGTGCAACCTCTCGAGGTTCAAAAAACTAATTAACCTCCCCTGTGATAAATTCCTCCTCCTCGTCGCGCACTACAGAGTGCAAATTGGTATAATAGATTGTTCAGATCTTAAAAAAAAAGTGTATTTCCTTATTTATTGCTAGAACATCCCTGGCAACATTAATTAATGATCTTCGAGATATAATTTGAAAGGTCTTGAGCGAAGAATTTTTTTTTGTTCAATCAGAAAAACATTTTTCTTCCTGTACCTAGAAAAAACACGATTTTTTAACTTTTGATGATCCTGTGAAAAGTTCTACTGTCAACGCGGAGACACGTCGTAAAGACCGATTTTTTCAAATTTCACAAAATTTTTATAAAATATGTATTTTATTAATAATATAAAGTTTGACAAAATATTTAGTATTTTATACGAAAAAAAAATATTGAAAATAGGCTTTTTGTTCGAGGTTCTTTGTATCAAACAACTTGCCTAAAAATAACTATCAAAGCATATTCCATTGGATACATTACCCAATTTAGTTATACATATAGCTGTAAAAAGAAATGCACCTGTGAAGAGTATTATAGCTTTCCTGCAGCCGTTTTTTTCTTGTTATTACTTTTTTTTCGATGTTTTAATACAAATTCAATATTCAATAATTTTTTTTTAATAATTGTGAGGCAGTTTTGAAAATTAACCACATACATAAGTAAAAAAATTAAAATATTTAGTTCATAACAATTCGCTATCTTTTAGTAGCTTTTTTATGTTTTCGGGTATGGCGTTCCGCCTGACGATCGGGTTGGGTCATATCATAGCGAAAAATTATGCAGCGCTTGTCAAGGAAAGCTTTTATGTCCTGAAAAAGAAGTAAAGATTTAAGAAACTTGTAAAATATACTATTTTAAAATTCAACCTTTGGGTCGAAACGATATCCGATTTCCTTCAAAAATACGTAAATTTCTTGCAAGTCTATGGGCTGATACGTGAGTATAGTTTCACTCAAAATTATACTAGAGGAAACGAGGTTATGCCAGGCGATATGAAGAGGTAACAGCGGCCGTGACGTCTGTAATAAAATAATCAAATACAGCCAACGTTTACAAATTATAACCACTTTGTTGTGTTTGAATTCTAATTTTTGGAAGTTTATTTGTATATGTTTATGCAGAAAAATTTGTTAAATTTACTCAAAAACCTACAATGAAATTATACTTTATTTAATTATTAAATTGAACAGAAAACAAAAGTAAAAAATTCATAACATATTCGATTCTAATTAAAGAACGTTTAATGTATAGCAAATTCTAATCTCTGGAAATTCTAATTACTGAAGGTTCTAATTTGTGGGAGTCGACTGTACTAATAAAATTTAAAATTTCTTTATTTTAAATCACATATAGGTACATATTTCCTCTTATCACTTTTTATCATCAGTTTCACATGTAATTCGGTTGTTTTTTTTCTTAACTATCTAATGGAAAATTAAGATATACACAAATTCGGTCCAAATAAAATGCATACAACGCATCTATGGTAAATGTGAAATGTTACGGAGACGCATAGCACAATTCTTTTAAAACGGTGCAACTGTTTTGATCAGGTAATGAAGAAATGCACAAAATGTTATGCAAACACTTTAATTTTTCAAGCTACGTTTAAGCAAGAAATCTTTGCAAAAACTCAATTTTCTTTTTTTGTAACCGCAATTTGATCAAAAATTAAAATTTACATTATTCCTTAGTTCATTCCCAGTATTTATCTGTCGTGAAAATCCATAATTTTCTTTTTAATTTCACATAAAATGGACCAATGGCGTTGTGGTCATCTTAATACACCTTGCGGGCTATTAATGTATATTAAATTCGCTAATGTACGGGAAATATTTACAAAAAACCTCAAAATTCTCAACATATTCTCATTGTCTGAGACTTATAGCTAGGTATTACCTTAAACTATCAAAATTACCTTCTTAGTAACATTCGTCTGAAATATATAGTCCTCACAATCCAAATCGAGTTGTAAATCATTTTTAAATAGCTGTATTTGACAGCCAAAACAATCCTTTAGCTGTAATTTATTTGTAGATGGAATAATATGATTCGAATGACCTTTATTAGATTGTTCAGGAATGCGATAGTTTTCGTTTTGTTTACTACAATTGGGAGTTTCTTTGAGAATTAGTGGATGTGTTGAATTATATATAAACTCCAACAACTTGACAGCTTGTTTCCGTTTTAAAGGTTTGATGCCATATTGATAAAGTTGTTTCAATATTTCTGATTCTGATTGATGCATAAACTCCGGTTTAGGATCAGTGACAATGCGGGTGGTATATATCCTACCTGATATTTCATATTCATCAGGAGGATATGCTGAAACTTCCAAAGGTCTTGTGTAAGATTGAACATCTAAGGTATTTCTTTCTTCTTTCGTGTTATTTAAACTTATATCTCCATTTAACAAGCCATCTAAACCGACTGGTGCGAGCCACGTTGGCGATAATTCGGGTTGATGGGTGGGACTATTGTTAATCTCAGAAGGTTGTGTAAATGTTTCTGATATATTGTCTAAAATTCCATATTCAAGAAGCTCGGCCGAACGATTCGCTAATCTAGATGTATTAATGTGCAATTCGCAAGGCTCTGGTACCACACATTCATGGTCCTCATTGAGTAAACCATTTGCTGCCGCTTGACTAAAACTATCCATATCTGCTCTCCAAATAGAGTAATTGATTTCGTCATCTGACAAAACTATGCAATCTTCAGAACTATCCTCTCTATCAATACTCACTTTCCCAGTACTTAATGCCAGTTCGGAACTTGAACCGGATTTGTTTAAGTTGTCTAAATTGCTTGTATTTGTAGCATTTGGTGTAATATTGTCCACTAAGATCTTAAAGCTTTCACCATCGATAGACACATGCTCTTCTTCTTGAGTTAAATCTATAATACTCGAAATAGGACTTGTGGCGTTCTCATTTTCTCTAGTATCTGTATTATTCAAAGGCGATACGACTGAAATAGCTGTTTAGGGTACAGAGAGGTCTTAGTGATAAAAAGAAGTTTTATATAGATATCAATGTTTTGTCAAAATGGTTTACGGAATTTTTGGTATCAAAACGAACATTTTATTTCGCGACATTACTCAGAGCACAATAATTATGTTACCAGGATATTCGTTACACTTTAACCTAATAGATATAAAATTATATATTGTGTGTAATTATATATCTGTCCATTCATCCTACATGAACTATGCTCTAATTTGTCCCTACTCTGATGCCCGCAAAAACTTTGGTAAGCTTTCTGGCGGTCAGTGCGTGACTGAAGTGATTTTCGTCGACGTAGTCAAGGCACAAGCTCTCGGTGTTCCCTAGGGGCGGCTCCGCTTTAAGCAGACGACTACAGGGATGTAAGTGTTCGACCGGAGCACCACTTGACTTTTTTTGATTTTCAGACTTACTAAAAAGATACCTCGTTGAGGTCATGGCAGAGGACTATAACTATAAACGGTCAAGAAGTGGCTGGGGTAGATGAATGTACACCAGAGAGCTGCAACGAGTATGATCAAATCAGGACAAACACTCGTGCCAAAAACACAATGAAATGAATTCAGTTCAGCATAGACAACATTGTCGAACAATTCGAGTACCGGCCAGCGTCAACTGATCTGATGCAATACGAACAATCTGTTCTTCGCAAATCACGATGACATACATTTGTATGTATGTATGTACTCGATGGAATTTCCATTATACATATAACATACGATATATATGGTTTGAGGACAACCGGTTCACATGAACCGAAATGACAGAATCAGACGGAGTTACGGATCAGTACTTAAGTATAAAGAAAAATTGATTACTCGTTGCTGTTCTCTGATGTACACCGTGATAGTTAGGCAAATAGTATAATATAACTCACGAAAATTGGTAAACAGTTGAGAAAAATGCAAAAGTTGGTGAGGTCATTGTAAAATCGCCAAATATAGTTGTGAAAATGGCGGCAAAAAGACTATGAGATCTTCTAGACTTAGAAGGACAGGCTCGCTGAGTGTTTGGTTAGGCAATAAAATTGAATGATAGAACTGCACGATAAATATTCTATAAATATTCATTTGGTCAAAAAGCTAGCTAGACCGGAGCCTCTACAAAATGATTTAATATATTAAAAACAACTTATACAAATCACATAGGAATTATAACAAGGCAGGGCTAAGTACAGGTGTAACCGTAAACTTTATACTCTCACAAGGGTCAACTGGAGTGTCGAAAATCTTTGTATTAGGTTAGGTTGAGTTATCACGCTTTGGTTCTTTTAAACATAACCATTATTTTGGAAATGGGCGGGATTATAATCCGATTTCAACCCTTTAGCTTATGCGCATCCACTACTACAATCCTCTGCATCAAATTAAAGTTTTGTATCTTAATTTGGAGCACCAAGGAAAGTACCGAGTTTCAACAAGATGTCTCAATTTTTACTCAAGTTATTGCTTCGTTTCGTTAACCTAATCATTTATATATATTCCTATATCCATCTCGATTAGTTTCAGGTAGTTTTAGTAACAATCGTGAACAAAACTATTATACTCTGCAGTAACATGTTGTAATAGTATAAAAATACAAAATATAACGCCAATGGAAAACAACTTTGTTAGTATATCACCAGAGCAAATATTCTTTCCAGCGGTTACTTCAAGTAATATTATATCTAAATTAACATATACGGTTAAAACCAAATAAATTTACCTTCTTGGTATACATTTGTTTCGTATTCATTACGAGATGCCATTTTTGGAATATCAACTTCTTCTAATTCGTCTTCTGAACTCGCGAATATATTCGGCGATTGGCTGCGGGTTCCCTTAGATATACTTGCAAGATTTTCTGAAGGATTTTGTGAGGTGCTTAGGTAGGTTTGCTTTATATTAACTTGAGCTGAACTATAGTTTTGATCATCTTGTACTGTGCTGAAGGTATTTTCGATTAGAGGTGTGCCGTGGTCTGATAAAACATGTTTATGTTCAATGCACTCCGTTTTGTTTTCCACAAAATTTTCATTATTATTGCAATTTTCGAGGTTGTCTTGAATATGATCACTACATTTTTCAATATCAGTTCTAATTGTCGAACCCGTAGGATCACGAAAGTTATCATCGGAAAGTATAGAACTTTTTTCAGGTTGAAATGTGGAAATTAAAACTTTTTTCACTCCGAAGTGTTCTTCCAAATTTATAAACGACTGATTCATGAGATTAACAAATGTATTTGATTTGTTTTGACCTTGGTTAGCTTTTTGAGGAGACAATTCACGCCCTTCTATAGCATGCCAGTTTTTTAACAAATAGCCGGCTTGTACGTGGTTGACGTCAAAGAGATTTTTTACATAAAAACTTTCAAGGTTTATTCTATCTTCATTTTCAAATGCTTTAGTAATTGCTTTGGATGGTTTAAGCTTTTGCAGGTTATAACTAAATAACGCATATGGTTCTGAATGAGTTTCAGATAAAAACAATTGTTTGTCCTTCCATTCTTGGCTCATTAAAAAGTCTATTTTAGATTGTACTTTCTTAGCTTGTAGTTTAGAATCTCGTAATGTTAGTGATGTATATTTGTTGATCCATTTATTTCTACCTCTCCGATTTGAACCAGGCAATAATGCGGTGCTTAAACTGTTATAGGCTGCAAAAGATGTAAAATAAAAATAAATAAAAAATACAAGCATTGTTAAAAGTTAATAGTTAAGGGATCTTCAACTGACATTAAATAACCGGATCTTTAGGTAAGTTAAGAGAATATTATTCCCAAAAAATAGGTTATAGAATTATAGAACAATATTAAATGTTCAGTTTACGCAAAGCTTGCTACCTCGGGTTGATAAATATAAAAACATTCTTACTACACATTACAAGTTAGACAGAGCTAAGCTCGAGTATAAGCCATCATTTTATACTCTGTCCATTTGCAGTGCTCTAAGACGAGGAAATACCTACATGTTTGGCAAAACTTTATATTAAACAATATTTCGTAAGAATTCAACATTCAGTATTCTAAATGTATTTATAAACCGCCCTTATTAACTCAAATCAGACATATGCATATAGTCAACTAAGGAAAAAAATTTAATATATTAGTTATAACGGCAAAAGCTCAACCAAACTATTAGAAATTATTATATGAGTTATATAAAGTTTAGACAAAAGGTCTTTATCAATTCCATTCTCATTAAACGCAAAACCGCATTAAGGTGACTCTCTTAAAGGTGAGATTTTAAACTCAATTTAACAAAAAAAATTATATTCGGGGAAGTTGAAAAAAAAGTTAGAGCTGTTTAAAAGTGAGTGGAAATAATGGAGAAAGCTGCTATATTTTGAAATTTTTGTGTAAAAAAGGGAAGAATGCCACGCAAGCCACAAATGAAATTTGTTAAGTTTACGGAGACGACGCTGTATCAGGTCGTGAAGCCCAACAATGGTTCGCTCGCTTGCGTTCTACAAATTTCAATTTACACTGATAAAAGCTTTACACTGAAGGAATAATGTTTCTAGCGGAAAAATGGCAAAAAGGTATCGACCAAAATGGTACATATTTATTAATTAACTTCACTTTAATAAAAATGTCTCGGACAAAAAGTTAAGTGCGATAATGAAATCAAATGAACAAATTTTATTTAATCTCAATCGTTTTCTTCAAATAATAAATGTCACACCTGAAAGCATTTCCCCGCCCTTAACTTTTGCAAATTTCGAGAGTTTTGCTTGTTATGTTGGGGTTTTTTAATTGTTAAAGAAAACAAATTGGGTATTCTTTTTTATTTTAACACTGCACTTGTTTTAAATAATGTGACACTTTAGATTTTATTGGTTTCAGAGCAATTACTGACTTGCGATTCTGTTTATATGGGCCAATATACTTTTTAATCTAATGAGGAGCTCAGTTCTGAAACCAATTAGTTTTAGATATCCGCTCAGAAACAAGATTAAAATTACACTAAAATATTGACAAAGTATATTTTTATAATTTAAAAAAAGTATCACCATTTTTCAATCTACAAACTTATTACACTGAAATTTTACTGATCTAAAATTTAATATTGCCATCTACCTACCTTCTAAGCCACATGGGCGAAAACCATATTGACCTAATATATTTTGAACGTTTTCCAAATTTGCTTGGTTATTTTCAACTCGCTGATCTGCAAAGTTTGACGAACCATGGGTTTCCACTTGTGATTTAGACAATGCAAGTGCGAGGTGTATTTCATCAGCACTAAAATTATCAAGTCTGCATTGTTGAGACGTAATCTCCGAAAACATAACTTCATTTCGCATGAGCAAAGTTTTAATATTCTGCTGGCCCCTAGAAAGCGATCTTTTGCTTCGGGGGGAATTATTTTTACGTTTCAAATTAGTTCGTGTCTTAGTTTTCTTTATAGGAACCTCAAAGTTGTCTTCATTATTATCTTTGGAACATTGATACAGGTTTGTTTCCCCCGTCAAAATAAATTTTCGTAAACTGGTCCGTTTTCTTCCATTTGTTTTCAACTGGGTTTCACTTTGCTGGTTTATTGCTTGTAAATTTTCTTGCTCAGTATTAATCAAGCCTCTTATTGAACATGTGTTTTCCAAATGCACAACCTCATTTGATTCTGGTTCATTTCCTTGAATAACTTCATTTACTTTAGGTACTTTAAAATACTTTGATAACAATCCGTTGGTCGATTTAGTTTTCCTTCGAACAAGAATAATTCCAAAATAAGTATTCTTTCGAATTCATTACATTTATTTTTTTTTTTTTTTACATTTCAAATTTTATAATAATGTTTTACCGTAAACTACCGCTTGTACTGGATTCATCATGTTTAATTCCGGACAACCGGAGTTTCCTTAAATTAGCTTTCCGAGTTTCCCGATCCATTAGAAAGTTTTATCTTTGAGAAAAAAACTCTTTTCCTTCATCAATACGTTTTTGTATTTCTCTGCTGGTTAGAGGCTTAGGAAAACTGAATAAATAACGACGATCGATCTCTTCTTCTGTTGGGGTAAATAACGTGTCGCAAAGGCCTTTATTAATCTTTTTAAATGTTGGAGTATACCTAGAATATATAGGTTTAAATAAATAATACAACCACTATAAATTGTGATAATAAAAGCTTACACCCAAGCTGCTAAAAACACCGCTCCTAAACCAATCCAACCAAATGCAAATTTATTTCGGAACTGATATGCAGGTGTCCCACGAGTGCGTCGAGGCTTTCTACTACCGTTTTCAGAACTGTCCATAACCACACCTTCACGGGCTAAATTATTTTATATCAATAATATATTACACAACATTAAAGTATATCACAACAAAACAAATTTGTAATTATCAGTATATACTCTGTCTCTTATACACATCTAGATGTGTATAAGAGACAGGTCCATAACCACACCTTCACGGGCTAAATTATTTTATATCAATAATATATTACACAACATTAAAGTATATCACAACAAAACAAATTTGTAATTATCAGTATATACTAGTGATGAGCGATATTTCAGCACCGGCGATTTAATTACTATGATTTCAACATCGCAATCGATTTCTTCACTGAATCTCAAAAATCTGTAATTCGCATTCACTATTACAGTAATACTTTCCACCAAGATGAATATTTTGATTTTTATTTTTTCCTTATAAAATAGAAGCTGTGAAATAACTCAGGGAATAATAGTTATGTGGTGAGTTTTTAATAACTTTTATTTTGGAAGCGAAAAAATAAAAATCAGAATATAACGATTAATTTGTAACAAGGACTATGATGTCTGACCCTTAATTGGGAAGGCGTCGCTGCCCAGGTGGTTGATGTCCTCGTCCACTAACGAATGTTTCAACCTCTAACGAAGGTTTCAAGACCGGAATATACTCTTGTAAGTTCTAAAGTGTTGATCTGGTGGTGATAAAGCTCCGTCCGGATCGGGAAGGACCTCTCAGAGCCTTTCGATACCAAACGAAGTTTCAGACAACGAGACTCTACCGTGTGATTTATTTAATCTCTCGTCTACTAATTCGAGCTGCAGAACTAAATTGAGAAGGTACCACCTTCTATAGGGATGTAGAGCTGCTGGCGTACGATATTAATATCATTGATCCCAACTATCGCATCGTTAGTTCTGCTTTCTCCAGACTGGATAAGGAAATGAAGTGTTTGTTCATCCATCGATATTGCATACTAAACATTCAATAAATACCATAAAACTAGGCGTGTACTGAGCGTGTAGTTGTCGTCATACAAATCAACGAATATATTATTGATAATCGGTTTTTTTACCCATCCTCATAACGAAATACGAAATTTGTATATGCTAGATTAAATTACAGAACATGTTCGAACTAGGAATGCTATCTTGTTTGTGTACGATGTTTTAAAATTAAGAATGTGGATTCACTGAATCCACAACTGTTCACCAACGTGAATTCGCACCGTAGCAACTAATTTTATTTAAACTTCGCAATGAGAGGTAAATTTTAGAATAGATAAAATTAGAGTTAAAATGAACATTTACGGCTAGGGAAGATTCTCCGATTCTCACGATTCCGATTACTTTGGCGGAGGGGTAAAACCTCCGAATTTCGGTTGAAATAGGGTATGCACGGATAGGGAGCTCCAGAGGAGGAATATCCAAAAACAATAAAAATAACTAATATTTTTTAAATTTTAAAAATTTGCACTAAGAACACATGGTATTTCTTTATGTTTCGCTAAATTTGTTCACGTTTTCACTCTATATATTTAAATATACACTCTAAGCATTGAAATAAGTTCACATTTCACATTTATTTTGTAATTTATCAGCTAAATTTAGTAATTTAAAAATCTCTTATCAATTTATGGCTGAAAAGTTTTAGTGTTTATATTTTTCAGCGTATCTTTGTTTGTACTTTTGAGTGATTCTTTTTTCTTTATTAAATATAAAGTTATATAATAAACTTATAAAGAAGATTTTTCAAACTAAATTTTACTACATATACGTACATACATATATGAATAATGTGTGATTTATATTTAATAAACACAGATAATTAAAATCGTGTGATAATGTAATATTTATATGAATATATATATCTAAAAAATAAAACTGGCCGAGCGAATTCCCGGGGCAACTGAAGTACTTCGCGTAGTACTCCTTTCTGTGTTGGCGACCTTCGGCCGAGTTTTTGTTACAAAGTGATTATATTTTTTTATCATGCACTCATATTGAAACAAAATTGAATTTTTCGTTATAAAATGGATAAATTTTGGTTACTATATCTGTCAACGATTTCCCTTTATTTTTAATGATACATTTTTTTGTGTTTTAGGGTACGATATATATATTATTATTTTGGATATAAAGTAGTTTTATAACAAAATTTGAGTTTTCTACTGTACTGTATACTTCACACTTTATTANGAGAAAAACAGGGTCGGGCTATCCCAACTCCCGACCCCTTATTGGAAAGAGGAAGGATCGAACTTTTTAATGATTAAGGAAGGATCGAACTTAAATCTAGATGTGTATAAGAGACATTTATATAATATTACTTATATTCTGAATAAATTTAAAGAAGAAAATATCCATATGCACGAATAGAGGAATTTCAGCGTTCATGGCAACGCTCCATTTTGTCGTAATTTTATGTGAACAAATGAGGTTTAAACCGAGTGTAAAATGTAATTTTGAAAAGAAAAAAATTTTAGGTAAAAAACCTGCTAAAAGCATAAAGTAGTGGATTTATTTAAAAGTTTATAGTGTAGTTCAATTAATTTAAAGGGAAAAATGTGAATAAAGGGTGTTTAATGTGGGGAAATAGCTTCTTGAAATGTTCGAATTTTGCGAATTTTTAAACTTTAAGGTCGAATATCCCGTAAACTAAGCGATTGCGGTACCTATAACGGAACGATTACAATTCTTTCGGCGCCGCGATTTGATGGTACGGGTGGATAGAGGAGGTCCTCAGGATTAAAAATTATACACATATACCGTCCTCAGACTCATAGTTTTCGAGATATTTCACTTTAAAGTTCCACAATTTTATATGCAATTCACTCGTATTTTGTTTTGTTTTGTTTTTCTCTACATGTCATGACAAATACCAATGCTGCCACATATTGTGTTTTGAAAAAACTATTAATCAATTTTCTGTTTAACATATATACAGAAAAAGGTAAAAATGTTTTTTTTTTATCTTATAATATGTTATTTGATGAATAAAGATAAAAAATAATATTCTTTTGTGTCGATCTACCTTTTGCACTGGCGGCCTTCGGCCGCGATTAAAAAAAATAACCCTGGTCGGTCCAATACCGGGGTGTTCATAGTTCTTTTGTATAAAACTACTTTCTGCACTGGCGGCCTTCGGCTCGTGCTCCAAAAATAATAAACCCTCATAATAATAAACTTTGCATTCTATAATAAGTTTTTTATATTTATTATGGAATATAATAAATTTAATTCATATATAATATATGAAACAATAGTTCATTTGGAATCATTGATATCTCTAGATATGAAACAAAAATGTTTCATTATATTGTCAGGACACAAAGTATGGCAACCATGGTACAAGGATGGCAACACTGCTATTTGTCATAAATGTAAACACACAAATCTCTTGAAACTTTGAATGTGCAAAATAGTTTTTACATTACAGTTTTGGACCGTTCAGAAGTGTACGGTTATATCTAAAATCCGTTTAAGATCATTGGTCAAGTTTGTGACAAATTGCACATTTTAGTACAAATTGTGTTTATTAAATATAGTTCAAACCCGAAATTTAAAAAAGAAAATCACACAAAAACATAAAACGTAAAATGGATACAGAATCTGATGAGCCCGAGGGCTCCTGGGCTTATAATGTGAGAGAAACGGATATACATTGAAAGTAATATTATTATAAAACCACTTTCAACAGCAAACACACCAAGCACATTCGAACTTCAAAAAATTACGTATGATGAAGATCACCAAGGCCCATTCATTGTATACATAGATATAAAAAATAGAGGAAATGAACGAAGTGCTATAAATGCGGTCGCGATCGCTGGTTTAATAAAAAAACTAAAATATGGATACGACGACATCAATGAAATAAGTAAAGCTGGTTATGGGAGAGTCAAGGTACTATGCAAGACTGCAAGAGTTGCAAACGATCTATGCAACAACCAACTACTGCGGGATAAGAGATACGAACCATAAATCCTTCAACATTGTATATCCAAAGTGGGCATCATATTCGATATTCCCACAGAGATTACAATGGAGGAGCTCATGGAAGACGTACGCATCCTAAAGATGTTAAGGGTGGAAATCAAATCCAAAAATGAAAATGAAGAAGTAAAAATTCCAACAAGAATAGTGAAAGTATTTTTCAAAGGCCAAACGATCCCTGAACACATAACTTATGCCTACACAAAAATTAAAGTAAGCCCCTTCGTAGCGTTAACTCAGTGTTACAAGTGCTACCGTTTTAACCATTTTGCACAACATTGTAAGAAAACTAGGTCAAGATGCAAAAAATGTTTTCAAATATATGCAGTAAAAGAAGCATGCCAAAAGTTAATATGTGTAAACTGTAACTTCGAACATGCACCAACAGCGAAAGAATGTCCAGCAAGGGTAAAAACGTACATAATCAAAAGAACGATGACCCTAGAAGAAAGCTCTTACAGAGAAGCCCACAGAAAAGTTGCAGGCATCTTAGGTAACCGTTTTGAACTTTTGGACAATTACGATAACAATTTCCCCGAATTACATAGCAAACGTACTAACAATATGCATCAAAATAATAAATCCACATCATATATCCGTAAAATATTACCATTTACTAAAGTAATTAAAAGCAATATTAACAATACAAATAAAAATAGACGCAGAGAACAGGCAAATGCAAGAAATACTATGCAGGAATGGAGAGAAACAATCAAACCAATTAAAAGCAATGAAATCATTCAATCAACACGAAAATTACAAGAAACACGAAACACAGTGAATGTATTAAGTGCAGCCATAACAAAACACCTAACTATTAATATTAACCAAAGATTAAATCCAGTCACAATTGAATTATTCAACAATATTCGTACTTCATTCAACAAATTAGTTAATATTTTCGATACTACTTAATAAGCAATAGTTCAAATGACATCACAAATTAGAGTCTTTCAATTCAATATACAAAGTTTGAAAAAACAAGGAAACAAGGAATTATTAGAAATCTGTCTTCACAACAATAAAATAGATATAGCTATATTAGCCGAAACATGGTTAACCAATAACAACGACACAAGTCTAAACAGTTATAATTACGCATATTCCAACAGACAAGATGGTTTTGGTAGTGTTGGAATATATGTATATTAAAAAAAACATAAAATTCACAATATTTAAAATACCAAGTGAAATTGAACATATTGGTATAACGACACTAAATCTCAAAAGAAATATTAACATTATAAGTGTATATTGTCCACCAAACATAGAAACAAATACTTTCAAATTAGAAATAGAAAAATTATTTTTATATACAAGACAGTTAAACAATATGCCTCTTATTGGTGGTGACCTAAATGCCAGAGCAACATCATGGGATAGGATATCCTTTAATACTAAAGGAAACATCTTAGAGAACATTGCTACTGACAACAATTTTATCTGCCTTAATGATGGTTCTCCCACTTCTAACTCCAATAATTCTAGATCAACTTTAGACGTAACTTTCATCAATAATAATATCAATAATACATGGAAAATAATAGATAAATTAACTAATAGTAGCCATACACCAATAACAATATCCTTATTTGACAATTTTCAACTCAAACACCAAAAAAAGAAAATCTTAATGAACCGTTTGTTAACTGATATGACCAAGTTCAAAGTAGGCGACAGTTTGGATGAATTCAACAACTCAATCGAACAAACATTACAAAAGAACACAATAAATATCAGTAATAATAACAAATATATTCCAAAACATTGGTGGACAAATGAAACGCAAAGATTATTTAGATTAAGAAACGCAGCAAGAAGGAAATACAATCAATACAAAACACTGGTTAATTGCGAATTACTGTCAAGAGCCGGAAAAAATCTTACAGACCATATATTAGAACATAAAAAGATTAATTTCCAAGAAACTATAGATGAAATATCAATAACAAACAATAGTAAAGAAATGTGGGCTAAAATTAAAAATTTAAAGAAATATCAATGTGAAAAATAAATTAACAATTCCTGGAATAATCAAGACAAAAAAAAAATATTTAGAATCCATTGCTAGGACAACCACACAAAATTCCACAATCAATTATATCAACCACAGAGAAGAATCAATAGAATAAATGAATATAGACAACTTCTTACAATTTTTACATACTAGAAATATGAAATCAGCAAAGGGACCAGACAACACCTCATACAATATATTTCATTTATCCTATGAAGAAAAAGTTAAATTATTTAACCTATTAAAAAACATTTGGTTAAGAGGAGAAATTCCAGAATACTGGAGAGAGATTAAAATCATCCCAATTCCCAAAAATGTTATGATACAACAAATATTTACAATTATAGGCCAATATGTTTACTTTCAGTACTATCTAAAAGCATTGAAGGCATCTTAAGAATACATGTAGAAAACACAATAAATCATAATAACTTATTACCCGCAAGATATTATGGTTTTCGAAAGCATCACTCTACTGCACAATGTATTAATGATGTGATCAGCACAATTGCTTTACTTGAAAAATAAAAATGCCAAGGAATGGCTGCATGTATCGACGTGGAAAAAGCATATGATTCTGTGGATGTGGACATTTTAAAAGATATACTATCTACAACTCAAATTAATGCTAAAGTAACGGATTGGATTATTTCATTTTTAAAACGAAGATATCTCAAACTAGATCATCAAAAAGTGATCACTAACAACGGTTTAGCACAAGGTAGTGGCTTAAGTTCAACACTTTTTAATGTATACACTACACAATTACAGCCAATAATAGATGAAAATTGTAAACTATTGTTATCATCAGAAACGGGACCAAACCCAAAATATTCTGAAAGGAAAAATAAAAGAATTTATCACTGAATGCAACAAAATCAATTTAAAAATAAACCTTAATAAAACCAAAAGTATATATTTCAACCGGCGTAACACACAAATAGATATTCATATAAATAATAGGGGAATATTTAGTATCGCGCCGGTTAAATATCGTTTATGGAGAAAAACAGGGTCGGGCTATCCCAACTCCCGACCCCTTATTGGAAAGAGGAAGGATCGAAC